AGTTCTTTAGGCTGTCAAACAAAAATAATTTTTTAGAGCTGGAGCAATAGTATAGTGGGTAAGGTGGGAATCCTTGCACACGGCGGGCCTGGGTTCAAGGAAAATTTCAAATAATTAGAATACGCAAGCTCTAACAACAATCCCTAAAGATGAGCTCTAACAAAAAAAAAAAACAAGCATATCTCAGAAATATAGACACGCAGGTTTTATTCGGTAAATCTAAAAAATGCCTGATTTGGCTTATTTCAAAATCCACACACCTGCTTCCTTAATGCCATTAGCATCAGGTATCACAACGACTCAGACATATTTTTTGTTTTGTCTCAGGGTCACGCTTAAGGGTTACTCCTGGCTATAGATTCCTGGCCCTGTCAGTGCCAGGGGACCATATGGGGTGCTGGGATTGAACCTGGGTCAGCCACATACAAGACAAGAGCCTTACCTGCTGAACCATAGCTCCAGACTCTCAGACCTAATCTTCGATGGTTTATTGTACAAACTCAACCAAGCTATGCATTTTGTGGGGAGTATATAGTCCATTTACCCATTCTGAGGAAAGCAGGAAGAATCTGCCCCTTTTTCTGGCAGTTTCGGTTTTTTGCCTGCTTCTGACACTAGGAAACATAATTTCAACTAAGCACCTTGTCATTTTCCTCTTCAAGTTCCCTACCTTTCAGCTTCTAAAGAGGATGCACTCTCCCCCACCCCCACCCCTGACCCACCCCCACTCCATCCCTTACACCCTCCCCAGCACACACCCCCCTCCCTCCTCCAAGCTTTAAGCCCACCCCAAGATGAACAGACAGGAGAAAGAGAGGAAGTGACTACATTTGCTGTGTTTACACTCAGAAATGTTCAAACAAGAAAAGGGAGGATCCCTTCCTGTCAGAGCCATTTTATCTTAAATACCTTTCCAGTTGTCAGCTGGGACTGTTCTGATACTGCAAGACATGCACTCCTTCTGACATATCACAGAGGTATGGGGCTTCCGTACCGCACACTTATCATTGAACTACACAGGCTGAATCACAGCCTTCTTTTCCAGCCACACAATCCAATCTTCAAGTATTTCAAATATTTCTGTTGTTTCTGTTTCACAACAAAAACAAAACAGATACATTCCTCTTTTCTTGAAGAGAGCCTGGATACAGAACTACCCTAGTCTCTTGAGCTGCTTTGTTCTTCTCGTCTGAGTTCCCACCCCCGTTTGTTCATACTTTTCCGCAATTTCCCTACAAAACTCAGTACCCCATTGACTTCTGGGTCAAGAGCACTTAGTAGGCACAGAAGAAAACGTCTACTGGATTAAATTCATGAAAGATCGATTTGGACAGAGTTTTTAGAAAGAGACTCAGTAAGACTATTTGGAATTGAGACATAAAACGGTTCTGGAGCACTTCCTTGGAGTGCAAATTCGAACTAATAGCTTGTGCAATGACAGTGAAGATACTGAGAAATCACTGAATGGTAACAGATGTCATAACTACACGGCAGCTTGAGATAATGGCACTCATAAGATAAGCAGCACCAGGCAGACTGTTAACTTTTCTGAGTTTCCCTTGTGTTAAACCAAAAGAGAAGTGGTGGGGGCTGGAGAGAGAGCACAGCATGAAAGGCGCTGGCCTTGGACACACCCAACCCAGGTTCGATCCCTGGCATCCTTGAAGTTCCCCCCAACACTGCCAGAGTAACTTCTGAGTTCAGAACCAGGAGTGATCCCAGAGCATCGCCAGGTGTGACCCCACCCCACCCCACCCCCCCAAAAAGAAAAACTTTAAAAAATTTAAAAAGAGCAAAATGGTGAGAGATGGCAGTAACATCAAGTCTGCCTAATCACAAAGTTTCAGTGAAACTCAAGTGATATACAAAATCATTATACAACTAGCACAGCGGGTAAGGTGTTTGCCTTGCACACAGCCGACCCGAGTTCGATTCCTTCGCCCCTCTCGGAGAGCCTGGCAAGCTACCGAGAGTATCTCGCCCGAACAGCAAAGCCTGACAAGCTTCCCATATTCAATATGCCAAAAACAATAATAACAAGTCTCCCAAATTGTTGTGAGACGTAACTGGCGCGCACTCGAGCAAATCGATGAACAAGGGGAGGACAGTGCTCGAGCTACCAGACATACTTAGACAAATATTTCTCACCATTAGTATTATCTTGTGTGCATATGCTTGATTAAAATATATGAATAAAGTTCAGAAAACAAGGCTTACCTAACACAATAGTAAAATAATGTGCAAAAAATAATAAAAATAAAAATTTTTTTTTTTTTTTTTTGCTTTTTGGATCATACCCGGCCAATGCACAGGGATTACTCCTGGCTCATGCACTCAGGAATTGCTCCTGACGGTGCTCGGGGGATCATATGGGATGCTGCGAGTCGAACCCGGGTCGGCCGCGTGCAAGACAAACACCCAACCCGCTGTGCTATCACTCCAGCCCCTGTACGTCAATTATTTTAATCATGAAAATATCCCTGTTTTTAATGTATCTGTAATGTATCTGTAGAAAAGTTCACGATGTGTAATTTTGATTTTAAATAAATCTCTGGACAGTTTCGAGACTCTCTTTGGTGCGGGAGCCGGGACTTTAACCACCAAGTCCACAGTGGCCTGCAAGAAGCTCCAGACACAGCCTGGGGCTCCATGCTGAGCCCTGCGGCACCACCATCCGCAGACGCCCAAACCTGCATTTCAGCAAAGAGTTGGCTGATCTACGACCAAAGCCTGCAGCTAAAAATACAGCAAGCACTGAGAAAATCCTTTAACAGTATACAGCTTAGACTGTTACTATAATTAGGACAAACTACAGCCTGAACCTAAAATATGAATAAAATTGAGAAATAAGTACCCCCAAATCATTACCACACACAAAAAACACAGTTTTTAGTGTTTTTTTTTTAAGAATAGGAAAGTATTTTGTCAGAGTAGTAACTGTAAATGTAAAACAAGAGGCCAGAAATAGAATGCAGGGGTTAAGGCACTTGCCTTGCATGCAGCCAACTCAGGCTCACTCCCAGCACCAAATATGGTCCCCTGATACCCACAAAGAGTGACTCGTGAGCACAGAAAGGGCCAAGCGTCAGCCCTGAGCACCAGCAGGTGTCCAAAAACACAAACAAGTGTGTGTGTGTGTGTGTGTGTGTGTGTGTGTGTGTGTGACTGACTTGGGAAGTGGGTCATTTTAACTTCATCAGAATTCCACAGAAACAGATGGCCAAGCTCCGAACAACGCAGACTGCAGAGCCAGAGAGGGCTGCAAGTCTATGTTTCAAATTGTCCGGTTCTAAAAACAATAATCTATAGGGTAAAGTAATACAAATCTGTTAAGAAACCAAATCAAACGAAGTCATTTGCCAAAGCCATCCTGCCTTTGAAAAGCAAATCCAGCACGTAACCTTAAAATCGGTCAAGCACTTGCATCTTCGGTTTGTAGGAGTTTCACACCTTTCTGAAGGTGAGAAGGGTGAGCTAATCAGTGTGAGTCCTAGAAACAGTTCCTGGGAGCCATCTCTAGAAACACCCGGAGAGGTAAACAATCAGCTGAAAGCGCACACACACCAAGAAGGAGCTTCCAGGATTTCCCTCTCCGTGGAGGAGCAATCAACTATTTTTAATCTTGGTCTGACTCAAACATCCAGCCAAAGCTCTCTTCTTGGCTCATCAAAGACTGCTGATTTGTTACAGTTAAAGTTAACTGTTTTGAAAATCAGATCTGAATGGAAGTCTCTGGAGATTTACAGACAATGGTCGGGTATTTGGAGAGGCAGAGCTGGGTGAACGTCCGGAACACTCAGAGCTGGGAATCAAATTCACCCACCATCACTGACTCTGCGGAATGGCCCAAGAATCACTTCCCTACCAATCCACTAAAACAGAATGCCGGTCACTGAGTCAAAAACGAAAGCCACCTCTCCATCCATTGGGCAAGACTCAGAGGGTGATAAAAGTCATCATTTCCTCAAGTCTACTTTGACTTTTTCACTGTCAAGATCATGCGTGCACAAGAAATCATGCCCCCATAAATCCCCCCCCCAAAAAAAGTGAGGACCTTTCCTGGGAACTTGTCACTTTCTTCTTTTTCCCATTCTTTAATTCACTTGCAAAATGCTAGTGGAAGGGGTTTGGGGGGGGGGGGGGGGGGCCTTGGCAAGGAACTGAGTGAGCCGATGCAGCGCCGCACAGCACTGACATCAAGCCTGCGGAAAATGCTGCTTTTGTCTCGGAGGCAGCCGGCTGGGCGGAAAACAGGAACTTTGGGGAGGCTCGGTCCCCGCCGCACCCCAGCCGGACCCCGCGCCCGCCGCCCAGCCAGGCTTCTCGCATTGTGGTCGGGGGGGACTTGTCCGAGAGGGACCCGCCGAGCTCCATCCTCCTCCTCTCGCTTAAAAAACACACGCAAACCCTCCTGGGCTTGGACCCCCCGGGCCCATTGTCAGCAGAAAGGCCGCTGCTGGCCGGGACCCGCAGAGGACCCGTGGCCCAGCGCGTTCCTCGAAGCCCCCCGGGGAGGTGGACATCGGGGCCCGGGCGCAGGGGCCAGGAAAAAAAAATTTTAAAAATAAAAAAAAAAAAACCTTGGTGACAAAAGGGGGTCCAGGGGCCCCGCGCGCCCCCCCCCCCGGCTTCCCGATCGCGCCTGTCACCGGGGAGGCGCCGCCTCGCCTGGTCACCCACCGCGGGAGGGACGGCGGCGGCGCTCCCGGGTCTCGAGGCCGCTCGGGGCCTGCCCGGGGGTCCCGCAGCGGCTCGCGACCCCCCCCCCCCCCAGCCCCCGGCCGGGCGCAGCTTTGTCTCGGACCCGGGGACGCGGCGCCCCGCACTGCCCCCCGCGGCGCCCCCGCCCCGGGACACGCGCACACAATGAGCGGCCCGGCCCGCTTCCGGCCGCGCGCCCCGCCGCGCCGCGCCCCGCCGCGCCCCTCGCGCCCCGCCGCGCCCCGCCGCGCCCCCCGGGGGTCCCGGCCGCGCGCCGCCCCCTCCCCGCGCGCGCTCACCCTCCGACAGCTCCAGCTCCAGCTCCGCCAGCTGCGCCCGCACCTCGGCCGGCAGCGCCGCCACCGCCGCCGCCGCCGCCGCCGGGCCGCTCTCCAGGCCGCGCTCCGCCATCCCCGCTCCGCCAGCCGCGCGCTCCGGAAGACGACCGAGGGGCCGAGGGGCGGACGGACGCGCGGACGGACGCGCCGACGGACGCGGGGCCCACACCCCGGCTACTGGATCCGGCTCCGGCCGCCGAGCGCCGCCAGCGCCGCCGCCGCCGCCGCCGCCATGAGCGGAGGTCACGTGAGCGCGGCGGCCCCGCCCCCGGCCCGGGACGCCCCGCCCCCGCCGCCGCCGCCGAGGGCCCGGCGGGGACGCGCGGGGCTGCGGCGCCCTCTACCGGGCGGGCTCTGCAGTGCCGGTGGGTGCTCCCCTCCGCGCCTTTCGGGCGGGGTGCCGGCTGGGAGACCGACAGCCTGCCGTGCTTGGGAACTCAGAATAACGGGTTCTCAGGGATCCTGGGGCTGGGTGCCCCAGTCTTCTTCACTTCGAAGTGTGCGCCCGCGAGGCTGGAGCGGTAGCGCAGCGGGGAGGGCGTCTGCCTTGCACGCGCGCGACCCGGGCTCGATTCCCAGCATCCCATAGGGTCCCAGGGGTGATTCCTGAGTGCAGAACCAGGAGTAAGCCCTGTGCATCGCCGGGTGTGACCCGAAAAGCAGAAATAAAAAAAGTGTGTGTCCGCGAGGCTGGAAAGAGCACAGCAGGTAGGACGTCTGCTTTGCCTGTTCCCAACCCGGGTTCGACTCCCAGCATCCCATAGGGTCCCCTGAGCACCGCCAGGGGTGATTCCTGAGTGCAGAGCCAGGAGGAACCCCTGTGCATCGCCGGGTGTGACCCGAAAAGTCAAAAAAATATATATGGTTCTCTGAGCACAGAGTCAGGAGTAAGTCAGCTTACTGGGTAAGCCCCCCCAAAAAAAATTTTAAAATAAAGAGGGGGACAAAATAGAGATATCAGAGTAAATAGCAAATATTCCCAACATACTACTATATTGGTATTGGTTTTGGGGTTTTTTTAAGTGCCAAGGATGGAACTCAGGAACTCACACATGTCTGAGACCCCTGAGCACTGCCAGGTGTGGTGCCAAAACACAAACAAACAACCACAAATTAGAGGAGTGGGGAGAGCATCCAGGGGCTTAGGTGTTTGCCTTGTGTGCAGCTGAGCCCTGGTTCAGTTCATGTCACCACCTACGGTCCCCTAAGCACCACCAGGTGTGGCCCACAGACAGACAAACCATATTGGGAGGCAGAGCACAGAACCCTCACACCCATCGCCATGGGCTGGAGGATGGCGGGGAGTGACATTTAGGCTCATTCCAAGACTGTCTTCATTGTCCATCAGTGCAGGTGTTTCCTTCACGCCTTCCTCGTGTCTGAGTCAGTGTCAGCCTCAGCGGCAAAGGTCCCAGAAATGCCTGGGAGTGAATAAAGGTCGGTTCTGGGATTCTGGGGCAGGGAAACTCCTCAAGGGGGTTACCTGGAGATGGCTAAGACAGCACTAGCCGGGCACTGCTCTGCTGCAGGGGAGTGGAGAGGGGCGTCTCCCAGAATGGCGGCCAGGGTGCTGAATGCATTTCATTATTCTCCAGCTCTCTCCTGACATCTTCCCTCACGTGTGTGTCTGCTTAGCAAAGTAATGTGATCACTGATACATTGGTTTGTTTCTTCCTGATTGAATTTTATTTGTCAGAGACTAAATAGATAGGTAAGGGAGTCGGACAAGACGGGTAGTTTACATGATCTTTTTTGTTTTGTTTTGTTTTTTGCTTTTTGGGTCACACCCGGCGATGCACAGGGGTTACTCCTGGCTCATGCACTCAGGAATTGCTCCTGGCGGTACTTGGGGGACCATATGGGATGTTGGGAATCGAACCTGGGTCGGCCGCATGCAAGGCAAACGCCCTACCCGCTGTGCTATCTCTCCAGCCCCAAGTTTACATGATCTTTAAGCCCAGAAGGTAAACAAGGAGGAATGCTGCCCCACCGGGGATCCTGTAACTCCTTTGTCGCCGCGCCTTCTCCCCAAGAATCTCCCCTGAAGAGAGCTTGTAGGATAACATTGGTTTGTCCTTTCTGCCTTGCCTCAGGGAGCTTTAGGTTTATTGTGTTACTCCCATCACAGAGCTCCCATTGCTCTGTGTTTATTTGTGACCTCTTTCTTTGTGCTCTGTTAACTTGAAAATACTGCTTTTCTCTTCTCCTTAAGTCCTTTGCATAGCTAATTCAGAGCAATGTCCTTTTTGCATAGACACAGGAAGACAGTTAATGTATAGACACAGGAAGACAGTTAATGCTATGCTTTTGTAACTTGGGAGTTACTTGACTCCGAATGATCTTCACTCTTGGGCATCTGTTCTCTCGACTTGGGCCTCAGTTGCCTTGCTTCTTAAAAGGGACGGCAAAAGCAGGGTCCCAACAAAGGACTGGATGGACCCAGGGCGAGCTATGAGCTACCCTGGCATCAAAATGGGTCTGGTCAAAGTGCCATAATACTTAACTATAAGTTAAGAGCATGGTCATGGACAAATTCTGTCATGATCCAAAAAGTAACAACTAGATAGGACCCTGCTAGGGTTGGGAAAGATTAATCTGACCTGAGCACTGTAATCTGAGATCTTTAGTGAGATGTCCCCAGAAGAGCCACCCTACAAGCTTAATGTATCACTTACTGTGTCCATACAAAATAACTAATAATATGAAGAAATAGAATGAAGATGTTAATTAAGTTATTGGACTAAGGAGAGGAGAAACACCCCTAGGTGGTATTTCCCTCCCTTGAGCCTGATTGATCAGGAAGGGCTTTTGATACGTTGATTGTGCTACCACGTGGTGTGTGGTATATACCCCCCAATGTTGGGAGTTGAGGAGAGACTAGAGAGAGAGCAGGGCAGCAAGATGGAGCGTGGAGAGACTAGTAAGAGGGACAGAGGAAGAAGAACGTAGGGGAAGAATTCAGGAGCAGGCGCGTGAAGAGACGCGAGAGACGCTACGAGAGGGAGCTCGAGAGAGATGAGCTGGAGAGACAGGAGGAGACAGGAATGGGGGGCAGTGTGAGGCTAGAATGAGGGGCTTAGTGAGACTGAACAGGCAGGTGGGGAGAGTGGAATAAGTGCCAACTGATCATCAACCAACCAGCTTGGCCCTCATTTCTTCCTTTGTCTGCCCATGGCATTGGCCATCCTGGGTGGGCTATTGGCCCGAGACCACTGATCACAGGTGGCGACATAGAGCTGAGGGGGATCCCTAGCCACTCCCCCCCATGATTACACAAGAGCTCATTAGGAAGATGTTGGTCCTGATATTCTAAGGCCATCTCATGTGTAAAAGGTCCAGCCCAGATAGACTGAAATAGACATTTGACCGAAGAACGTTGTCCTCCTTTTGATGATCACTGGTTCTAAATAACAAATATTAAACACGGAAGACTGTCAGGGCTCTCTGTCTCTGAGGCCGTTAGCCTCCCGACCCCATGCTTTTTCTCTCTTATCTTTTTTTTGTCTCTTTTATTAATCTTCTTGGCATCCTTGCTTCAGCCATGTTCACCTGTGGCCGGTCCCTGAAAATTATCAATCTTTATCTTTTCTTCTTGTTGAATTAATAAAGTAATAGACATATGCTTCTTTATTTTGGTGGCAGAATACAGATTGAACGTTTTTTTGTGTTTGTGTGTGTGTGTGGTTATTCTTTTTGTGGCTGTTTTAAAATAACTTCTCCCTCACCCCCTCACGAGAAATTTCCAGACATGTTTTAAATATTTGATTAGCCTCTATCTTCATTTTGTTGTTACATAGAGTTTTGTTTTATTTTGTTTCTGATGCTGCAGATTGAACCCAAAAATGCAAGGCATGAAGTTTACCACAGAGCCGCACACCTAGCAGAGGTGTTTTTGTTGGGAAGGGGTTGATCATATCTGGTGATTCTCAGAGCTATTCATGGCTCAGTGCTCAGGGGTCACTCCGAGCAGTTCTCAGGGGAGTATATGTGGTACAGGAAGATCAAATTGGGGTTGACTGAAAGCAAGGCAAATGCCTTAACCCCTGTACTATTTCTCAGACTTTTATATAGAGTTTAAATTTTAGCTTTAAATACAAACATTTAAAATATATAATTAAGGATTGTAGACACAGTACAAGGGTAAGGCATTTGCTGTGCTCATGGCTGACCCCAGGTTCAATCCCTGGTACCACATTTGCCCCACTAAGTTCCACCAGGAATGACCCCCTGAGCAGAGCCAGGATGAGGCCCTGAACTGGGGTGGCCACCCAGACGATCAAATTACATTAAAATTCACCCCCATTCAACACCTGAGGTGGCAAGTTTGAGAACTCAGCAGAATACTGAATTCTTCATGGAACAGTTTCCTGCGCTTCGTGAGGTGTGCCACTCTGGGTCCGTTCATGTCATACCTTCCTGTAAATATTCATCACATATTTTCTCTATTTCCCTACTCACAAATTCCTTGGTCATCGTCTCGTCCTCCTCCTCTTCCTTTTCCTCCACCTCCTCCTTTTGCTCCTCCTCTTCTTCTTCTTTTTTAGTGTTTTTTTTTTTCCACATCCAGCTGTGTTCCATGCTTACTCCTGGCTCTGTACTCAGGAATGACTCCTGGAGGTGTTTGAGGGACCAAAGTTTGGTTTGGGAGACTGAACCAATGTCACTTGTGTGCAAGGCAAGTGCTCAAATTCCTGTACTATCTCCTCAGTCCTTATTCATTTGCTAGGGATTGAACCCACTTCCTCATGTATTTGAATTGTGTGCTCCACCACAGAAATATATCCTTAGAACCTGCTTTTATTCCTTGTTTTTGGGGTCCACACCTGGTGATGCTCAGGGCTTACTCCTGCTTTTGCATTCAGAAATCACTCCTGGTAGTGCTCAGGGCACCATATAGGATGCCGAGGTTTGAATCATGTTAGCCACATGTAAGGCAAATGTCCATGAGTCATAGTGCCATGAGTAAACTTTGGCCACACTGTACCGTGTTTGTGTAACCATCACAAAAGAATTTAGCTCCTGATGGACTCTGCAACTAAAACCTGCAAGCACCAGGACTAGAAGTATGATTCC